ATTTGCGGAGTACTTCCTTATATGAGTCCAGAGGTACTAAATGGAAAGCCATACACTAAAGCTGCAGATATTTATAGCTTTGGAATGATAACGTACGAGGTTGCCACAGGTGAACCATTCGGGTGAGCGGAGTCATAGTAATGATCTCGCATTAGACACTATAACGGAGTACGACCCACGATACAAAATAATGTTCCCGGATGGTGCAAATTTATTATTGAAAAATGTTGGGATCCTATTCCAGAAAACAGACCAACTGTTAAGAAACTTGGCGACTTTCTATCTTACATGTCGACCAGTTCATTCAGTATATAATGAAACTGGATACTTTGCATCTTCAGTACTACAGCTCTTTAGAATATCCTAAAACACGCAAAGAAATAATTGTGTGTCTTGTACTAGAAAAGCAGAAATTAGATAAACTTGATAGATGAAATTAAAAAAGAGCATTCCTGCAAATATGAACGAAAAAAAATCGCACTCAAACGCAGTTTATACCAGTCGAGTCTTTACCACAAAACTTATTTCAATTCCAACTGAGACAGGTACTTTTATTTTGAAATATAAATCATATTAGCATTTCACAGTAATTAAATTCATAGCAAATGTATAGGAATGTCAAGTGTCAGTTTGTTAGCTCCATGCATATGATTTTAATAAAATTTATTTCTTGTGCATATACAGTAACATGATCTGGGGAAGAGATTTGGTGTTAGTATATCGAGATGTTACTCTATCGAAAAATTAAATACAATGAAAACTTATCACGGGGGGAAGAGATTTTGTGTTATTATAACGAGATGTTATCTTAAAACGTGTTACTGTATCGAGCCACGTGTACATAAACTTTTTGGCTCAATACGTAATTTTTGTTCTTTACGTTTATCTTTATACTTTGCAAGGTTAGAACTTAGATCTAATAACAATGGCAGTATATTAAATGTAATTTATTAAACTTTCTACATCAAAACTGGGGACCTCGGAACAACATCTCGCATACTACTACCAAAACACCCGTAAATCATTCTCCTGGAACCGTAGTACTGCGGAAGTTGGCCACGAACACTCGCTAATCTCGGCTCCGCACTGTTATCACCGCGCGCTGTTATCTACGTGGAATTGGCACGAAAAAGATGTGCACCAAGCGATCATGTGGTATCGTAAAGGTGAATGGATGTTGAGCTGCAAAATGCTCGAATTCGAGCTAATCACATCGGTATGCACCGAATGTTCCGTTATATTATATAATCACATGATTATACATATTTGGAAATGATTTGCGTTGGAATTTGTCCGGTAGCGCGTCTATTTATGAGAGGTTTTCTACACTATAACGATAATTTGATTAATGTACACCCGTAAATAACAAAAGATTCTTTCGTTAAGAAAATCATTTTTTTTCCGTCCGTGTTGGCATCGTTGCAAGATCATTGGTGTAATTTTTCCGATTTTTCAATAAAGCGTTTTACGTATCTCGTCTCGATTCAAACAATTCATTCGCTGTCATTCATTCATATATGTTGTACATGTATTACTTACCTCATAATTATTATTTATTACACAAACGGATCGGCTTGAGACTTTCATTATGATATCAATATCTATTCTGTGTTCTTCCAAATACAGTATACTTGAAGAAAGACACTATCGCTATCACTATTGCTATATAAATTTATAAAGAGGAACTGTTCGTATAAAGAAAAATTTTTAGTTGTTAGATTAAAGTAAAAAAATACTATCATGACTGAAAATTCAAACGAGCCATATCCTTCACAGTCTCGATCGCCTTCACTTTTGAATTCTCCATCGTCGTTTATGAATATACAGCAAACAACACAAAATCATTTAGAAGATACTTCGAATACAGATATTAGAGTTGTTGTTGGTGTGGGTAAGAAATCTTTTCGTAATAAATATCATGGTTAATTGAAGAAATTAATTTTTATTTTATTTTTTATAAATTAATATATAAGATTTCGGAACCACCTTTTCTGGTAAATGTTTCAAATTTTTCAGATTATGTTTTTAATGTTTGTTAAATATTTTATTTTGAAAATTATACCTTTTAACCATTTTCAGGATTTGCCTATGCTTTTAAATCAAATCCAAATGAAGTAGTGACTAATGATGTATGGTAAGTTATCCTTTTGAAATACTTATTTGATTGTAACTAATTTACGATTTCGAACTTAGGCCTGGACAAACTGGACAATTCAAAACAAATACTGCACTTTCATATGACGATTCATTTTCAGTACTAGAATGGTATTTTTAGTTTTGTTCGAATCACAATCGACTTTTCTTGAATAAAATTAATTGAGATCGTCGTCATATATTTCAAAAGGGGTTATCCTGCACTGGCTCAAGAACCACAAAAAAAAACAAAAGGTGCAGACAAAAATAAACAATTACCGAAACCTGTGGAATTATTCAAATTATATCTTGGCAATTTGGAGCCAGATGAAGAGCCACCATTACCCAAAGGTTTGGACTGGAAAAAAGCTATTTCCGATTATCTTAGATGCCTGAATAAGGTATAAATAAACAATTGTGTCAGACATTCTCTACAATTGACTTGAAAATAACGTAATTTTGTGTATTAGTTAATAGGAGAAACTATCACATCACGGTGGCCTGGACTTCAATTTCCGAAAAATGTTTTATTTGTCATGGCGGTTCCTGCTGAATGGTAACTTTTGGTCATCTCTTATTTTGATTTCCGACAACTTAATAATTCTGACTGAATACTTCTCATTCTAGGACAGATGAAGCAAAAGGCTTCTTACGTAAATTGGCATATGACGCTGGAATGCTCGAAGATTTGAATTCGGAGAATTTGGAATTTACTACAGAGCGTTAGTATTTACGATCGATGCGACATTTTGGTTGTAATCTAAATATTCTCATATTAATTTCTAATTTTGGATTTTGGCAGCCGAAGCAGCCGCTATCCATTGCATTCGAATCCTTAATGAACATTCTTTAACTGTTGGAGGTATTTCACTATACTAAATAATTTACAATAAGCTTCTTCTGTAAACTCAATATTAATTGTAATCTTAAAATCAAGCTCCATTTATGATTGTTGACTGTGGTGGAGGCACAGTCGATTTAACAACGAGAGCAGTTCTACCAGATCGACGACTAAGCGAAATAACAATACGAGCAGGAGACTACTGTGGTTCTTCATTCGTCGATAAAAATTTCCTAAAATATGTGGCAAGAAAAGTAGGCGTAGAAGCCATGGTTAGTCTACGAGACAACAATTACGGGCAACTACAATATTTAGTACAACAATTTTGTTCACGAGTCAAACATTCATTTAACGGCAACCCAGACGAATACACGACAAAAGATATCGATTTGGAGAGAACGTGTCCGGCTATAATGAAATATGTGACTGGTGATGCATTGGCGTCAATGGAAGAGGATGAATGGGTGCTGGAAATGGATTTTGAGACTGTGCGAGCGATGTTTGATCCTGTTGTTGAGAAAATCCTTAATATGATTAATCATCAGTTGTCGGCTTGTGGTGGAAATTGTATGGCCATTTTTATGGTGGGTGGATTTTCAGAAAATCATTATTTGACTTGGAGAGTGCGGCATGCTTTTGGTAGATTTGTTCCGACTATAGCGGTGCCTAAACATCCAATCGCAGCTGTTTGTCGTGGAGCTTTGCAATATGGTAATATCCATAAGAATTTAGTTACTTTCAAATATTTCTATAATTTAATCCATTGGCTTTTGTATGCAGGACTTTACATGTCAACTATAAAATCACGTGTCCTTAAATGGACATATGGCACAGACTCATTTAGGCTTTGGACACCAGCTGACCCACCAGAACGTAGAACACCAACAGGATTTATCACAGTATTTCGAGCAATAGCACATCGAGGAACTCAAGTAGCCGTCAACCAGCGATTCACATATGAGGCGACTCCAATACTTCGAGATCAATCAATGATGACATTTAACGTCTACGTCACCCCGTTCAATGCTTATTTTTGTGATGAATATGGAGTTAAATTATTGGGTCGACTATCGGTTCAGCTGCCTCCTATTCCTGTAGAATATCAACACAATCGCGTTATTGAATTCTCGTTGTGTTTTGGTAAGATGGAAATCACAGCTGTAGTGACGAATCGACAGACTGGCGAAGTTTATCAGAGTAATTTTGAATTGGACATTTAGTGAAGTTAATTAATTCTTTAATTTTAATTTATTTATTTATTTATTCATTAATTTAGATTTTATTGCTACTTTTTACATAGAATTTCACTTTTAACGTTAGGATTTTTTTTAGTCATTAAATTGAATCATGTGTCTCGATAAGCCATTAACGTTAATATGCGTACATACCGACACGTGCATGTGGCTATGCAGTGTCGTCCAAGGTTTTTTGAGACTGTCCCGTCCCGTCCCGTCCAAGGATGTCCCAACTCCTATTTAACTTAAAAACTTCTATTGAAAATTTACAGAGATATGAGATATGCATGTACGTACTGTATTTTCTGTTATTTAATAGAAAACGAAAAGCAGAAACTCAAAAAGATTGTAGGCATGTACATGTATTTCAAAACGATAATTACGTATTCTAACGGAAATGTTGTGTACCTGTTTTCTTGTACTTTGCATTTATAATTTTATGAGAATTTTGTGCGAGTTTAAAGAATACAATCTTACCGTTACGAGCTAAAAAAAAAAAAGGAGGTCCGTGTGGATTTCGTCGTTGTTTTGTGTTTAATAGTTAACCGATTAGTGTATTTATATGCATTTATCATAGTATTAAAATTGCTTCTTACATTTATGTTTGCTTAATTGAACTTTTTTCTTACCACAGGCCCCACAGTCGCTTTTTCTTCATTCAAAGTTGACAATTTTTTTTATTTTTTTTTGTATACAAATTCAGTTTAAATTGAGCTCTCGTCATTTTTAAAATAACAAAATTATGAATTCGAAAGACCAAAATTTATTATCATCGTCTGAATTCTCGTCATCAGTATCCTTCTTATCAGCAAAATCTATATCTTCAATCTCTCAAGACAACAATGAACCTACTGACATTGTTAAAGAACTTTTAAACATATTCAATGAGATGAATGATAATTACGAAGATGACCGAATAATTGCAATCAGAGTGCGAAAATACTTGCTTGAAAATGATATTCACCCGAATGAATTTTTTGAAATGCTATTGTCGTCGCAAAATACCCCGAGAAGCATTTCATTTTTGGCGCTTTTGTATTGTTGGGGCATTGGAGTTGCCGAGAATAAAGAAAAAGCTTTTGAGGTTTATCAAGTTGCTGCGAACACGGGTGATGGTTTAGCCTATAATCAAATGGGTATGTCTATCAACAACACCATTTAGTAGTTCTTTAACGTTACATTGATAGATATTTTTGTGCATATTAATGCAATGCAGGAGGGTGTTATTACTTTGGAATCGGAACTAGTGTTAATTATGATAAAGCGTTTGAATGGTTCCAGAAATCCGCAAAGACTTATGCGACAGGACAAGGTAAACAATTTGAATATCTTTTAATTTCATGTATCATCTGTGTTTCCGTATTTTAATTAATTTGTAAAAATAAGGGTGGCTTGGGGTGTGCTATGCAAACGGACAAGGAGTAGCACAAGATCATAACGAAGCTTTTAAATGGTACAAAATGGCAGCTGATGCTGGTGACCAATGGGGAGCACTCAATGTCGGACACTTCTACCGAGAAGGGATAACTGAAGCCGGCGTTAACAAAAAAGAAGCCGTAGCTTATTATCGAAAATCCGCAGCGAAACAAAACATCAATGGTCAATACTGGCTCGGATACTGTTATACAGAAGGAATTGGTGTCGAAAAGGACGAGAAACAAGGATTCGAGTGGTTCAAAGCTGCAGCGGATCAGGGAAGCGAGTATTGTCAATTCCAGGTTGGATGTTGCTATTTAGATGGAATTGGGGTCAAAAAAGATTCCAGGAAAGCGTTATATTGGTTCCAACTTGCTGCGAAAGAGCATGAACAAACTTTTTATTATTTGGGGCATTGCTATCAGATGGGAATTGGTCTTGTGTGTGATATTCATCTTGCACTGCGATTTCTACGAAAAGCAAAAAACAGCGGGAAAAATTCTTCGTTTCTGAGCATTTGCATGATTTTTAAGAATACTACATAGTTTCTTTAATTTGTTTTAATAGAAATTAGCTGATTGGAAAATATATTTTAGTTATTCGAACAATGCCATGCATTTTCTTTCGTCCAACATGGTTGTAAAAAATATCAGTTTGAACTTTAGTCTATGATAATAACTATCAACAAAGCATTCCCAAATTTTCGTAATTATTGAAGTGTGTTAGAAGATATTAACAGACATGACAATAGAAGAGTCAAGTATTTACATATTATTCAGTTTATTTGTTAATTTATGATTCTTTACATTTTTAGCATTGCAATAATCGGTATTCTGTCGAACCTTACTTTATTCCAATAGCAATGTCGAAAGTTATACACGCGAGTAACCAGCCAAGTATCCTTCCATTTATGAAAATTAAATATCAAAGAATAAAAACAATAATGTAATAAAATACAGGAATCGGAACACTATATGACGCTTTCAAAAAAGTAACCTCGTCAAAACTACATCAACCCGCAATTGCAGATGAATCACGGAATCAAAAACGTGCAATGAGTAACACGACTGTGCTTGGTGCTTGCTACACGGATGGAATTTGCACAAGGATTGATAAAAGAAAGGGATTATTGGCAGAAAAGTCGGCCATACGTATTTACGTCCAATTCAGCTCTTTTAACAATGAACTGCAGTCTTTCAAATTCCACCAACCAGTCCAATAATACTATTAAATAACAGTGTTGATTATGCAATAAAAACAGCAAGACCGTTTTCACACAATAATTCAAGATTTTATTGTTCTCGATAATGTTGGCGTTACAGTAAATAAAATTGATAACGATAATGATAATCTAGATCGGTCTTAATTTTACAAGACCCGACTATCGATATATATATATATATATAACAAAGCACATGTGTATATATCGATATATATATACGTATATATAGTCTAAAGACCGGTCCAGACTACAGTCTTGAGTTGGACCAGACCATCCCTATTTAGGTCTCATCATTTGAAATTTTCTTTTTTTATATAGACTTTCCTCGGAATATTTCAACTATTATACTTGTTTATCGTTATGACATGAAGCAATTTGACTCGTTAATTAATGATCAGACTAACGCTAAGAATTAAAGTACTGTGTAGTTTGAAGCAATTGCTAATTCTGGACAGCAATTTTTCTTTATACTGTATACGTAGTAGCAGTTTTTCAAATACTAGGAACTGATTAGCAATTTCAAATTGTAAAACTGTTTAACATCGCTATATTTGAAGTAATAATTTCTTAATAGAAAATATTAGGGTGGTCAAACATTTAAACAGCAGTTTAAATAACACTAGTGCAGGAAATCATTTATGTCCAAAGTTTTAGATTTTAATAAAAGTAATTAACTGTAATTACAAAGATGCTCTCGATATAAAGACCTTACGATGTACGTAGTGAAAACTAATTAATCCTAATAAGCATTCACTATAACGAGAGTGACTTTATACATGTATAACATTAACAGTTGGTTAACCGGTTAAGGATTTTTTAAGCGGTTCTAATCATTAGAAAATATTTTATACATTCTCAAGGATTCAAATCTTCAACTATTAATCGATGATCGTTTGTTTCAGTTAAAAACAAATGTTCAATGTCCCATTTCTTATCAATCAGCTCATTCAACAACCCTACCCACGATTTCTCAACCACCATATGCGTATTGCGAATCGCCACCAAAATCCTCTCTCGATCATCAAACTGTATTGTATTATCATGTTCGATAACATATCGTAATGCGCATGCATGATAAAAACCTTTAATTAGGTCGATTGGTTTGGCATTCACAGAGTACCATAGCGCAATATGTTGTTTATGCTCTGGTAAGAAGATTCGATCTTGAGATGATGTTTTTGAAGTAGGCGAATAAGATGGAGTGTGGAATTGCTCGAAAAGGTGGTGTTCGGGAACATGCAATATGAAATATTCTTCTGAATGCAAGAACCTTTCGTGTTGTAATGCTGATTTCAAGGCATCTGCGTATTCATCGCGTACGTAGTTCTGTAATGTCGGCTCCATTACTAACGGAACACGAAATATAGAACGATATTTTCGTACAAAAGTCTCACGCAATGATATTTCTTTAGGGGTCGGAATTACATCGTTGAGAAACTCGTTAGATAATGATAAATTTTTTTTTTTGTGCAGTACATCATCTAATATTTCTTTGAAAAATGGATACAAAATCATCTCGGTTCGTTGGATATTTAGTGTGCTGCTTGTGACATAGGTATTGGAGCGATAAGCTGCGTATATATTTAGAAGTGAGAATGGAATGAATGTAAGAAATATGTGAACTACTGGCTGCGCAACTGATGCAACCGATACGGCCGGAGAAAACATTGCCGTTATGGTTGCGCTGATGGCGATTCCGATTCCAGTTCCTTTTTATTTGAAAGTGGGAGTTATAATTAAATTTAACATACTTGTGAAATTTCAAGTGTTACCTAGCAATCCTGCTGCAGTGCCCTGAGATCTAGATTTTCCAGTGATATCACCAAGACTAGAGAATTTTTCATTTGTGAAAACAATTTCAGCCCAAAAATGAGCACGACGAAATATTTGTAAAAATACGAAATAATTTCTTTCTTACTTGTCTCGTAATGCAAAAGTCTTTGTCATTTGAGCCCTATAAAATATCGAAAATATGCACATAAGCACAAAGACCAAAAAAAGAAAAGAGAAGGTACAAAAACATTTATTCTCCAAAAAACCTGCTTGCAGCACCTGCCAGCCAACAAATATTTTTCCCTATTTACAGCAAAAGGTAATGAAACTTAGAATAAATAAATTGAAAATAAATCAAAATACTTACCAACATTTGACGTCGAAGCAAACAACAAAAACAGATGCGGATAAAGAGGCGCGACAAGCTCTAAAAGACTAGCGAATTGCATGTAAAGAGTTGCTTGAAATCTGTAACGTTTTGGTTCGGAATCAAATCTTGAGTTTATTGTTGCGGCATAAATTACACCACCAAGTTGTCCCAGACCATCTTTTACGATCCAATTTAATGCTGCAGCCAGCTTTTATTAAAGCAGACGGTGAAATTATTAATGACGAAAAATCGATAAATGGAAGTTTCTGGATAACGTACAGGTACAGATTGTGCTCCAAGTCCCATCGCATATAGCAAAGATTGCGTAGATAAGACTAAAGATTTTGTTAATTTAATCATCTAACGATAAAAATTGCATAGGATTCTAAGCTCACAACAAAACTAACCTCCAGTAACCGATCCAGCTGTCTTATTCAAGAACTGCCATTTAGTAAAATTCCAATAATCTTTCGTCACCGAGTCTGGATATCCTTTCGGCATAAACGCCGAAATTGCCTGAAGTTTCAAAGTATGCATAAATCCTTCAATAATATTTTTTCCTTCTTTTAGTATCGGAAATCTTCTATGAGTTATCGCAGGTTTCGTCGATGGTTCTTCATGTTCTCCATTTTTATTTTCATTCGCCTTTTCGGGCGTAGAAATCGATGCTGGAAATGTAAAAATATCGATGTGTGATTTCCATGGTTTTCTAACTATTTGACGAACACGTTTCGGTTTTTTCGTAGAAGTAACAGCAGTAGCAAGTGAAAATGACTGTTTGATGACAGAGGTCGGTTGTATTTTTTTTGATAGTGGATAAAATGAATTGAAATAATATAAATAATAATTTTTACAGTTGTTAACTTGAAGATTTGAATCTCTCTTTTTCGTACTGAAAAAACAGTGCGATGATGATAACGGCTTTAATCTAATTTTTATATTTTGATGATTAAAAATAATATAATTAAATTTCAACGACATAATTTTAGGTTTAAGTACAAGATGTGCTGCTGTTGTCTAGATTTATTCAGCCCATCATTTGTTTGGGGAAATAAATAAGTCATGACATACAATGAATTATTATTATCATAAGACCTGGAAATTATTCTATCAAAGTTAAAAGCATCTATAACGATAATAAACAACCAAAACTATTACTAATAAAAAAAATGCAAAATGAATGTATAAATTAAGTAAAGATGTGAATGCATTGATAAAAGGATGAATAAATTGAATTAGCCCTTCACAAACAAAGATCGTATTCTTCCCTCGGCGTTGACATAATTATTTTCGCGCGCTTTTCTAAACCACCTTATTGCTTCGTGTACATCGACAGGTGTACCTCGTCCTTTGAAAAACAATGCCAACAGCGTTAATAATGATCGCGTATGATTTGACAGAAATATAATTATTTATTACCTTCATGAAAACATCCTCCTAATTTACACTGTGCAAATGAATCGTTATTTACAGCCGCTCGCGAATACCAATAAAAAGTCTTATTTTTATCCTTTTTTGTTCCGATAGCACTATGAAAACAATATCCGAGATAACAAGAACCTTGAATGTCGTTTCCTTTTGCTGATTCTTGATACCAAAAAAATGCTTTATTTATATCCGGTTCTGTGCCAATTCCATTTTCGTAACAATAACCTGAAATTCAAAAAAAGAATATTAAAACTTATAAAACAACAATTACAACACAGCTAAGCCAACAACCGACCTAAATTACTTTGAGCTCTTGCATATCCAGCTTTTGCAGACTTTTCGAACCAATAAAAAGCCTTAGCAGGATTTGCTTCCGTTCCAATTCCTTTTCGTAAATAATGTCCTAGTGCACACTGTGCACTAGTATTACCTCCCTCTGCACTTTTCTCATACCAGTACAAAGCTTGACTAACATCTTTAGCTGTTCCTTTACCATTTTCAAAACAATGTCCGAAATCATATTGACCTGTAGCATTACCAGTTTTCGCTGATTTCTTGTACCATTCGAATGCCTTTTGATCATCCCTAGCAGTTCCGCGGGCGTACTTGAAACAATCTGCGTAATTATAACAACCCGTTGAATTGTTACTCTCTGCGGATTTCTTGTACCAGTAGAAAGACGTGCTTGGATCTTTACGCGTTCCAATTCCATCTCGGTAACACCGACCGACGAAATTTTGACCGTATGTGTCGCCAAGTTCAGCGGATTTTCTGTAAGCATCGAAAGACTGGATAAAGTCAGTGTAACCTCCAATTCCGTATTCCAAGCAAAAGCCTCTCAAACACAGACATTCGGGTCGTGGATCCTTATACAATAAGTCCAGAAATAATTGCGGATTTTGATTTTTTGATTTCAGGAATTCGGCTATCTTACGCTGCATTGCGTCCAAGTAAATAGCTCGAGAAAGATATTCGGCAAACAATTTTAGCGCTTCTTCCAAAATATTACTGTTGTTGTCGTAATTGTTAATGTTATTATCATTATTATCATTATCCGATAATACTGAGTCCGATGTCTTTCTTTGACAATTTATATTATGAATTTGGTTGAGCTGTTTCGATTCGTCGTCATTGCCATTTTCATTATCCGAATAATCAAATGAACATCTACACTCATTATCCGGTGTTGATACGCTGTCTCTTGAAGTATGGGATTCGGTATTATTGTCGGTCGTCGTTTTTGAAAGAAAGGTATCATCAAGAAGTTCTTTTATACTATTATTATTATTTTTATTATTACTCCTATTACTGTCAGTATCAGTATCAGTATTATTATTGCTCATAGTAGTACTAATAGTGTTATTATCGTTATTTATAGTTGATATTTGCGATCGAAGATTCTTTTGTCGCCAATTTTTTATTGAAATTTATATTTATTGAGATTTATAGAAAAAATCTTGGCTTTTGATTGTTAAACCTTTACGAAACAAACGAGGAATAATATTATTATCTATATAACCTAATGTTATTGAGGTGTCGTTGTTTTATTTTCTCCGATACTTTAAAAAAAGTCGCACAACAGAATCTATAATTATTAGTACATGTACATGTATTACTACTCACTTGACTCCTAGTTATTGTTATGCAGCTTTTTTTCCATTATACTATTGGTTCTGGATTAGTGGATCGGGATCCACGTTCTCTTTTTTATATATATAGAGGGAAATGTGAATTTCGAGTCGTTGGTTTTCACTAACACTACAATTTGATATATCTTTTTTTGGAGGAAAAGGCTTTGAAGTTTTGTTGATTTTACATGTACCAGTACTTTCAATTGATTATTTAATCCAAATACAGTACATAAAACGGGTTTTTACTCGTTAATGTATCAAAATAAAAAATTTTTCCTGTAGCATCCTTATCATTATTCATATATATATATATTTGATTTTCCCGCTTTCCATCGAAAAAGTTAGATCCAGAGCGAGCTTACATGAATTGGATTGATTTACAAATTCGATTCTATATTTATACATCAAATGATGGATCAGATTATTGATCATTTACATGTTCAGTTAAAGTTCGATAAAGCGAACCCTCGATAAAACGAACTCACGTTAAAACGAAGAATTTTCAGGAACCAACCTATTAATAAAGAGCTTGATATAACAAAGAATAATATAAATAGTACTTTATAACGTTAAACGAAGTTTATTTTTGAATAACCCGGGGCCTTCGGTTTATCGAACTTTAACTGTATATACATGTGCTACGTATGTAATTTCTCCCCCAAGTTCTGATTGGACACAAGTAAATCCATATGAAAAATGTGAAAAATATGTACAATCTAGCTTTGTGTACTAATAAAAATAGTAAATTGCTAACTATTAAAATTAATATTCTTCCTTTCTCCTTTATAATTGTATTAATATACTCATATTGTATGGACTTTTCATAAATTTAATGCATTAATTAATAAAAAAATTTCTGGAAGTTCGTTATATCAAATCCCATAGTATATCCGGTGTTATAAAAAGATTCATTATCACCTAATTTTTACATTCTTTTTTATAAATCATCAAAGTTGAAGACTTTTTTTGATTTGAACTTTTGAACAAATCAATTCAAACTATGAATTTCAAGAATTTTTATATATGATACCAGATACGTAATCCAATGTATTATTTGAATAGTGATCACAATACAAACAAAACAAAACAACCCTTGATATTACTAAAAAAAGAATGTAAATTTTGTCACTTTATAAAATGCTATTGTTTAATTCTTTTCAATACTAATTGAGATAATAGATTTATTTACTTTTTGAAATTAAAGACTTAAATTGAGTAATGTAATTCTTAACTAAATACCGTAAATGCAAAACATATTTAATAGTACAAACAGATACATTTAAATATTAGAAGTTCAACACTGGCAATTTGATAAGTGGCAAACATTCTTCAAAAAAATTCAAAATATTGTATCGGTGTGTGATCTTATCGCTATGATACATAGTACATGTATAGCATGCGTTGATACACAAACGAAAGTTCTATCGCTATGAAGGTATGGTACTACAGGTACAAAGAATGTTTAGCGTTAGTATATCATCAAGTAGCAAGATAAAGGTATCAACTGTCTAATAAAGAATCATTGAGTAGATATCCATCTTACCGACGTTGAATATCTTGCAAAAGTTCTGGGACAATTTACAAGTATTGTTTTATTACGAAGAAAACGATCCGAAATATACAAAGTTGCTGTGTTAAATCATTACGTACACAATTCAAACCAAATCACATCAGATAAGCATGATACTTTGTTAATACATGTACATGTACAATTAAACGTTTCACAAATAGCGATAGATTCAGACTGTTCTAAAGTGAGTTATCGTTATATATAGCGTTATACGGGAATAACTCAAACTCCAATAATGGATTATGCAAAATTGATTATCGCAAATTTGTGTAAAATCCAGAGGTGTCACGACATTCACCCTATACGTATTTGGAGTAATTGTGTACGTGATTGCAATAGCGATAGGCAAACGACCCTTTGATAAGCGAAATCATGATAACATGCGACATCTACGTACAAAGGCGTACGACACAAATAATGTTCCCGGACGGTACAAATTTATTATTGGGAAATGTTTGATTTTATTAGCCTAAACACAGCAATAAATCGAATACTATTTTCAATACTACAACTCCTTAAAACACATGGAGAGATAAAAGAACGTCTTGAACTAGAAACCAGAGATTGGATAAATTCGATAGAGGTGGAATTGCAAAAGCATTCCTACGAAAAAACAATTTACACCAGTCAAATTTTTGCTATAAATTAATTCCAATGATAACAGGTACTTTCAATATCAAAATATAAATCATAATGACATTTCATATTAATTGAAAATTATAGCGAAGGTTTAGATACTCCAAAAAATAGCGACAAAATCAAAACTTGTTAATTTTTTTATTCTAAAATGTCCAAACTTATGATATTGATGGAAAAAATCTATCTACCACATGTTGATGTGATTTCAACCTCTTCGTCATCATCTATTCCACCTACAAAACAAACAACAGCAATGCTAGTTCTCCCAATTTTGTTAAATTCTTACAGCGAGCACGATATCATATTCTTTAATAACAGTGATTCAAAGTCAGCCTAAAGTGAACCTACAATAGCGTGATTTATTTGAAGTAAACTACACAGTCACGCTCTTTGTAATGGACCTCCTTTATAGTAGAGACTAATTAAAATCTCGATATAGCGGAGTAATATTTAAAATAGCTATAATAAATTAGTAGATTTACCGATTGGCTCTCGATATAGCGGCTTTTTTTTTACTAAGAGATGCACTATAAAGAAAGTCACTGTGTATTTAGAAGAATTGGACAGCAATCTTAATTTATCTAGTGAAATGAAATCAAAAACCAATTGCAACAAATTCACATTGAAAAATCCGAGGATGGTTTATTGACAATCTTCAATAATATTTTTAAATATAATGAAAATGACAAAAAATATACAGAGAAGCTAATTGCAATTATTAAAATAAAATCTCTTTAAAAAAAACTTTTGATGAATTACAATTTTTCAAAGTTAAACATATAATATACTATATAAAAAATTCTGGGTTTAATTTTTTACTATGTCATTAACGTTAATACTGACAAAGATTATGATCAGGCCTTGAGATCTTATCAAGAATCAACAGTTCAAGGAGATGCTGTATTAGTATATGGCACAACATTTAATTGGAGAACTATACGGTGACACAAGTATTGGATGAAAATAATAACGTTTTGCTTGACCACCCGGATCTAAACGATTCGGTTCAAATTTGGTTAATACATTTCGTAGAACCAATCCGAACGATTCAGCCCGGTTCGGTTCTACTTTGGCTTGGAACCGAACTGAATCAGATATACGTAGTATCAGCCAAGCAGCGTTGTCACTTTTCTATGTCCAGTAACCAGAAGTTACTGGACTGGACTATATTGGACATATAAAATTACTAAGTCCAGAGGTCCAGTGGCGCAGTATTGGACTATGCCCAGTATAGTCCAGTTGACAACACTGCAGCCAAGTAACTTAAATAATACTATAATTCCAAAAATATAATGTTGAATTTAAATGTAAAATCAAATCTGTCATAAAACTGAACCAAACATTAGGTTCAGTTTCGAGTACATAACTGCCAATAAATGCTCAAAGACAGCTCTTTCATCAATATCCCACTTAACAATGACCATGATCAGGATCTGAAAGGACGCGAATATCAAACTGCATGATGTTAGCACAGGAACATCTAACGGGGGGGGAAGAAGACGAGGAGTAACGTGTGATTGCATTACAGCTGGGATTCTATGAAATGCAAGGCAAAATGCAACTATTGTGAAAATTAATACATGTGTTGGTGGCAGCACCTCTAATCTTCACAAGCATTTTAAAAACAACATCCGGATAAAATTATTGAAATAGAAAAGAATGAAATAATGCAACAATGGTTATTGAATCAGGAAGCTTCACTCCAAATATTTCGAGCCTTTTTCCTTCGTTGGATCATTTGTTCTGACCAACTCTTTACAAACATTGAGATTCCAGACTTGTATTAATTTTTTCTATTTCTGAGATCAGAAGCCATCACATCCTCTGCAGAAACTATAAAAAAATGAAATTATAAAGATCTTCAAAAAGAAAAGAACATGGTTAAAAAAACATTACAAAATATTCCAGATCGCATTTCATTTACTCTTGATATCCGGATCTTTTGCAATATGCTGCCTTTTCTTGGAATAATAGGTCATTGAATTGATAAGAATTTGGTATTGCAAGAAACATCGAGAAATTTTATAAGACAATCTTTGTGAAATTTTTGAAAATAGTCGTAAAAAATTAACAATTTTGACCAAGATTTTGACAATAATACTTAAACCATAATATAATTTGTCAAATTCTAGAATAAATGGAAATATTGATTTTGATAAAGAGAATTATCATGTTATATCCATTTTTCATGTATTAAAATTTGTCATACAAAATTTTTTAATATATTAATTGCTACTCAAGAATTATGCAACTAGTTATAAAAATAAGAATATTATTACAAGTTTGCTTACTAATTGTAAATTAGCTTGCAAATGTAAACAAGAGTTAAAGAAAAAATTAAACAATAATAATAAAAAAAGAAGTATCTAAGTTCTATATCAATTTTTATAAAAATTGTTATAGTTCAAAAAAAGACAAGTAATGGCCGGCGATTTTTTTATTATAATATATTTAAATAACAATATAATTTAAAATTTTATTTTTATAATATACAGGGGGTGGAAAAAAGTATTGGACACTTTTATTTTATTAATTACTTTAAAATATATATAATAAATTATTTTT